TCGAGATACCCAGCTGTAAGTATACATATATATATACAATACGTAAGTATACATATATATATATATATACAATACTTGTCTATTGAAACAAAAAAGTAAGAAACATATGGTAGGGTGTACCTAACTTTTTAGTGTCAATATACAAGTATTTAGAGACTTACAGCTGGGAATCTCGATTTCCGAAGTGAACTTACAATAATGACTGAACTAATACTTATATCTTCATTGATAAACTAAAACTACTATGCTTAGCAAATAATATTTTATAAAATTTTCCATCACTAATAAGTATAATAATTATAATATTTAAAAGAATATAAATGATTGCATGTTTTTCATCTTATAATTAAATAGTATTTTTTTCTGCAAATCAGTTACAATCAATCTCTACAAATCAGTTACAGATTGCATATATTGTACTTGGGCGATTAGTTTTTTCTCCAATATTTAAGCATTGCAATAAGTAACAAGAATAAAACATTTTATTGGCCAAAAGTCTACACGAGGAATTTCGGAGCCAATAAATAAAATGTATATAATCGTTTTGCAAATTATTACGACTATTTGAAATATTAGATATTTGAAATTATCACAAATTCATACTTGTTTATCCATGCAAATGCTCTAATTATGACAATTCAGAATACATAATTATGAATAATATTATTTACTCAAAATTCTAGCTCGTACTATAGAAATGTTAAAAATTTAAAGCCTAAATAGACAAAAATTTCTTTAGAATTCACCTATTTAATATTTAATTACATTATATGTAACCTGCAACTGATTTGTAAAGACTGATTTTAGCTGATTTGTAGATCAAATTTACTATTAAATTCTAAGATGAAGAACATGCAACAATTTATAATCTTTTAAATACACTAATGTTTTAATTATTATACTTATTAGTGATGGGCAATACAACCGAATAACTTTATCGCATTTTTATATAAATTTTATAAAACGGAGTACCCAGCAAGGGCTGTTCAAATTGTTTCAGTTTCCCACAATTTGATCAGCCCTAACACAAACATTACACACACGCACACGCACACACACACATATATATAAATATATATATATATATATATATATATATATATATATATATACAGTAGCGGCGCTAGGCGTCGGCGGTGTCGGCGGCCCCGAAATTTTTTTTTATTATTTAAAGTTTAGTATTTAATTTTTATTTAGTTTTTTTTATGCTGATGTGCGAGTAAAGAATGTGATTAGTGGTTTATGGGCACTCTCATTTGACTATCTTATCTCCTATGGACACTATCTAATATCGTCTGTCATCACTATAAATGATTAAATCTAAATAACTTCGCTTCAAATAACTTATATATATATATATATATATATATATAATATATATATATATATATATATATACATATATATATATTCCTAAGTATGCATGTACGTCTGTGAGATTATATAAGCATATTTAAGTTCAAATTTTAGAAGTTTTTTGAACTATTTTGAACTATATAATTGACAGTTGTACCCCAAACATGGCACGTGAGAGTTATTGTATTGTGAGGTTCAAAATTAATATATGTGACTATCCATTTCCTCGAATTACTCAGAAATTCCGTCATAATTTTCCCGAACATCGCCATAAACAAGTATCTCACGTCCCTATTCTCTCTTAATTCGCGTTAATTTCCGTCGACGCAACTGACAAATAGTCGTCGTTAATAATCCATGTGTAATAACCGCAATTTCGATATCTTCGGGACGGCACGTACCTACAGCCAGAGAGACTGTCTTATAGATTGCATAATTTGTTACCGAGTCGAAATCACTGGCCATATATCAAGCGCAAGCAAATAGCATGCTAATAGCCGGGCACGCCTTAGTAATGTCCTTTCTTACCCACACTGTATCATAACCCACAGGATGGCCGCCTCGTCTTAATGCCCGACCGATGACACTTACACATTCGAACCACATCCTGGAATAGGAAGACTATAGTCCATTTGAATATGTTGCGATGTGATTAGAGAGAATACTACGACCCGGACTTAGCATACAACGTGGATGGAAGAAAATTATTTTGTGCTCTGCTGAACTACATTAATGGCTCGTGGTTTAGTTTATAAACCAGTACATTTGGTACAAACTTTTCATTATACAATTGTAAATTTATATATTACAAGCATACGAGTGAATAAAAATCATTTTTGTAGTCATTCTTGAAAATATTTGAATTTATTAAATAGTTGAAATTACTAAATCTTATGGTATAAGAAGATTGAAACGACAATGGCCTTTAGACTTAGTCTTAGATTAGGTCTAATATAATATTATTATAGCAATTGTTAAACTGAGAAGATCTCATTGGAGCTCTTCTTAGGCTTCGCTCTTACATTGTCATTTTAGCTCATAGGAATCTTAATGTATTTCTGATTGCTAAATAAATGAGTTAAAAAAAAAAAAAAAAAAAAAAAAATCTTGAAAATATGCAAAGAATTCCGATGACACTTACATATTCGAACCACACCCTGGAATAGCCGTCCATTGAATATGTTGCGCTGTGATTAGAGAGCAAAACCATGACCCGGACTTGTCATACGAGGATTGGAAGAAAATGATTTTATGCTATGCTGAAATACATTAACGGCTCGTGATTTAGTTGTATTCATCAGTACATTTGGTATAAACTTTTTATGGTACAATTGTCACAGCATACGAGTGAAAAAAGTCACTTTTTGTAGCGTTTCTTAAAAATATGCAAACAATTCCGATGACACACATTTGAACCACATCCTGGAATAGGAAGACTACTAGTCCATTTGAGTATGTTGCAATGTGATTAGAGAGAATACTATGACCCGGACTTGGCATACGACGATTGGAATAAAATTATTTTATGTTCTGCTGTAATACATTAATGGCTTGTGGTTTAGTTATTAACCAGTACATTTGGTGGAAACTTTTTATGATACATTTGTAAATCTATCGATCATATGCATACAAGTGAACAAACTTTATTTTTGCAGTTATTCTTAAAAATAATTCCTTTGACACTTATATATTCGAACCACATCCTGGAATAGGAATACTAGTCCATTTGAATATGTTGCGATGTGATTAGAGAGAATACTACGACCCGGACTTGGCGTACGACGATTGGAAGAAAATTATTTATGCTCTGCTGAAATACATTAATGTTTCGTGGTTTAGTTTATGAACCAGTACACTTGGTATAAAAATTTCATCGTGCAATGGTAAACCTCTTCGTTTGTGACCAAAGGGAGTAAACGACATTAATTTTTGTAGTTGTTCTAAAAATATGCAAATAGTTTCTGTCTAAGTTTCATCTTGGGAGTTACTGCATTGTTATACTGTTAAATGTTATGCATGGTTTATACATAAACAATATGAATCATGTAATGTGTTAAAATTCGTTAAATATATTATGATGATTGTTTAGTTTAAGTGAGCACAGATGCACGTGCAAATCATATAAATTTTTCCTATATATATATATATATATATATATATATATTTCTATAGCCTAAGTAAATACGTTGCATCCTTTTTATATTTTATTAACAATTTATCCTTGCAATAAACCATGTGCTCTTCTAAAGAATTATGACAGGTCAACTGCAAACTTTCGTATTTATACGGATTATACAAAAATCGCAAAATTTTGTATGTATTAGGGTGTAAGTGTTTTGTATGTCATCCCATCCAGGCAGCGTAATTTTAGTATAATAATTTTTGTATTATATTTTAAAATTTATAATTTAGTATTCAGTTAGTCGCGACACTAGGCACATCAAAAGTGTAGTAATTATTAATATACGAGGTGATATCGGCAAAGGCAGCAGTAAGTTGTTATTGACGCCCTTAACATGTAATAAATGTAAGAAAACTTGTAACAGCTCATTTTCAACTACGTTATGGTTGTTTAACCTTTGCGATCGAATTAAATTTGAAGAAGCGTATCTTTCTACCCGGAATTATTTTTCGTTGATAGAGCAGGACACGCAAGTTTAATATGCGTAAACAATATTTATTAATAGTTATGTGACTTTGTGTACATTTTTATTCAATACGCATAACTAGTGTTGTTTGTGTATAAAAGTTATGTTTTATAATTACTGCATACTGTATAAATGCAGATAACACTCGATTCAAATGGTTCCTTGCTTTGGTGTCAGAAAGCAGACTTACGACCGGAACGCTAAAATGGCTTTGATGGCTAAAAGTAGACAAACGACCGCAAGAACTTAACAGGTAGTTTTTACCTTACTTTCTGAACATCAATAAGAACTTAACAGGTGCATGAAAATTAAGAAAGATTGCCCTCAATAACATACTTTTAGAATGCATTTCTATCTAATATTTTATTCTAGTATTTTAGATTCTAGAAATTATTAAATGTTGATGTTATGCCATTAATTTAAAGCTGTAAATAACGGTGGAAAGCTATTTTCACTAAAAACGAAATAAACAATAGAACAATACCTATAACTTGATATCTATTGTCTACATGGGTATCACGAATCTAGAATTCTGTGATCGCAATGCCAAAGCTCTTAGCTCTTAGCCAATACAATTCCGTTTAAATTAAATTATTGCAAATTTATGATAGCATAAATACTTTTTGTATTACTAATTTTAGAGCAAAACATGATAATTATCATTATATTATTTCCACTTGAAAAACGCAACTTCAGATCCGTCAATAATTCTTCATGGCAACCCGTACATCACACCTTGATATACGCTATCACTCGATGCTTATTATATCTACATTTGGTAAAAATCGATTTGTTAAATTTTATAATACGTTTAAATATATATTTTCTTTTTTAATTATTTGAGCAGAATTTAAGAGTCATACAAGCTGTTGCGCTGATTTGTTTTAATACAACACATAATACTAGTCGTATCTACAGATACCCGTTCAGTTATCCTATTCTGTGTGATGATTTACTATTATATTTCTGTAATAAGACAAATATTTATTATTGCAGCAATGCTGGATCAAGAGCTATTTTCATTTGCAACCATATTGCTACCAATATTTCCAAATGAAAACTGTTGTCACCATTGCTTGACAACAAGATGCTTAAAGTGGGAAGAATCTGGTACCTCCGATGATTCAGACCCAGTCTTTCTAGCCACTTACCTACAAGCCAACCAACAATGATAATTTTGCCTTTGTTTTTT